TATCTCAGTGTGGTTTTGATTTGTATTTCCCTGATGAGGAGGGATGCTGAGCATCGTTTCATGTGTCTGTTGGCCATCTGGATGTCCTCTTTGGAGAAGTGTCTGTTCATGTCTTCTGCCCATTTCTTCACTGGGTTGTTTGTTTTTCGGGCGTGGAGTTTGGTGAGTTCCTTATAGATTCTGGATCCTTTCTCATTCCTCTCAACATCCTAAAGAGAGTGGTGTGCCTTAGAACTCCAATTTGGGGAAACACTGGCTGGATAATATTTCTGTTCTTAAATACAAACCAGGGAACCCCCAAATTTTCAAAACTGCTCTAAGCCTTAACAGGGGTGTGAATGGGTCTGCTGTACCCAGGTTCTGCTTCCTGCCTACCTCGTCCCTCCTCTTCCTCTGTGGCCTATGCTGTGACAGGTTTGGGAAATCTTTCTGGTAGATGTGTACAGAAAGCTCTAAGGCTCACTGCACCTGGGCTTAAGCCAGGATGAAGAACCAGGCTAGTACCTGGGCAGACGTCCTTTTCAAGTTCATGATTTCTTCACACCACATGCTAGCCACACAAAATAAGAATAGCACTCGGCATTTACACTTCCCAAATCAGTTACTGATGTTATCCTTTTTGTCTCACAACAAACCTAGTGGGTAATCCTGAAACAATTCTCCTTATTTCAAAGAATACATGCACTGAAACCCATAGATTCTCAAGGTCACCCAGTCTCAGAGGCGACAGAGTATGAACAAAAGGAGGGGTCCTGTGCCTCTCCAGCCAAGTTTTGTCCCTCTTCTGGATCAGATCCCTCTTTCAAGGTAACATTACTGCTGGAAGATACGGCTAAAAGCCCAAGGGAACTTTCTTTGGGAGGTAACCCCAGCTTATCCTGGTCCAGAAGATCTGACAGCCTATAACAGAGGCTCTATGCTGGTAGCCTATGGGTTCAAGCTGGCATATGGGTTTTATTCAGTCCACATGACTGGGTTGTTTTTTAGTCATCTACATTTAAAAGTCAAGAAATTTCACCTTAAAAATGTGGATTCCGACTTCTCTTGAAAATGGCAGGAGACACGGCCACCTTGAATCTGCATTTCTGTGGCAACCAGGAGCTGGCAAAGTAGTCTTGTCTTTCCAAACAGGCAAATACCCTCCAGTTCACCACCGGCCTCCTGCCTACATCACTCACTGGTTTACCTGCTGGGCTCTGTGGACACTGGGGTTTGACCCCCGCCAGCTTTGTAGATGATGGTCATGTTTCCAAACCACCTGACAGGAAGGTACGCACAAAGTGGGCAGACACAGGAATTGCTAAACAATGAGGGGAAATGCACCAAGAAACACATCTTCTAAAGTCTGGAATAACAACTTCCACCAAAAATAAAAACAGGTTTTTGCAACAAAGAGAAAATGCAGACATAAATTCACTTTAACCAACAGCCAAACGTTTTAATATGTATGCCTGGGTTTTCCCAGCCAATTTTAATTCAGGTTTGCGCCTTGGCTATAAAAAATAAAAAGGAAGACAGGGGGTGCAGAATGTGAAAAATACTAAAAAATGCTGTCATTTAAATGGAGTTGAATCCCTTTCAAAACCCTGTGTCCAGTGAAGCCAGTGCCTTGAGAGGCATTTTGTCAGTTCTGTACACCACTCAAAACCCATTGAAAGCTATAAAAAGCACCTGCCATCTCAATGGACTCCAGATTCATTTGCTCTGGGGTTGGATTTTAATGTGGCCCCTTTGCAGTGGGAGCAGAGCTAGGGGCAACAGCTGAGAAGCTGCTCAGGCCTTGACAGGTGAACTTGTTATATTACATTTCAAAGCCACACACTGTTATATAAAGAGGCAATTCCATACAGGGGCTGCTGCATCCCAAACTGAACTTTGTCAGGCCTGACTGGCGACAGCAGGGACACACTGATGTAGCAAGAGCATACATTTTCAAGTCCTTCAGAGTTTAGGGGTTCATGATGGCTCTTTCTTCCAGCAAATTCACCTTATAGGGGCTGTGGAGTTGGCCAGCTGGGCATTGGACTGGTATGGGGATAAATTTCTCGCCAAAGCAAACTCTCAAATCCACCCAACTTCTAGATGCAGGTGCACATTGTCTCCTCCAAGGAGCTCTCCACCATCTCTCCAACCCTTCGACTCTTTCCTCCCAATGGCTGGAATCCTTGTTCAATTTAACACTTAATCTGCCTACTTATCTTTTTTACATGTGGACCCTTGTGATTGGAAGCTAAACAAGCTGGTCCCTAAGGGCGGGACAGGGTCTTCTTTTTTTTTTTTATATTTATTTACTTTTGAGAGAGGAAGTGTGTGAGTGGGTGAGGGAGAGAGAGGGAACAGAGGTTCTGAAGAGTGCTCCGTGCTGACAAGAGAAAGCCTGATGTGGAGCTCGAACTTCAGAATTGTGAGATCATGACCTGAACCGAAGTTGGACACTTAACAGAATGAGCCATCCACATGCCCCTCTTTTTATCTTTGCAAGTACACATGTGGTGGTTGTTTCATAGGAACAGCCACCACAGTAGGCATTCCGGACACAAGACTTGGGCTCTAAGCATAGCAAAGAAACAGCAGAACCATGAGCCTGAGGAATCATGGGGTTGTGGAGTTGGGCCAATGGCCCTGGTGATTCCAAACCCTTGGCTCTGCCTGAGTCCTGGCATACCCACACTCTCTGGAGGAGAGGCAGTACTCAGAAATGACTGAGACATGGTTCCTACCAGCCTGGTAGGATGGAGGCTCTAATTTACAGAAAATGAGACAGTGACACATCTGAGTTTGTGGAGAGAAATTTCCATTTGGCCTCAAATTGAGCTCAGTGAATGACACAGGGAAAAAAGAAACAAAGTGTAGTTTCTCAGCCTAGGTAAAGAATTGGGAGAGATTGAGAACAGGTGGGAGGAGGTAGCAAAAGGCTCTAGGAGCAGAGAATGGAATGTGAGTGTGTCCCAGATCTGAGACTGGTAGAACAGGTTTGCTAATGGAACCATGGTGGCTATTTGGTTATAATTTCCCTATTGATCTCAGTAGATACTGATCCCCCAGGACAAACCACTAAAGGCCATCTAGAAGCCCGCAAGGAAGCAGGGCATCTTCTGAACAGAGTTCTAGCCTCAGGGGAAGACAATGAAGTGCAAAAACCAGACTATGTCACCTTGCAGGTGGCTGTCCCCCACAAAAGGTCCATGACATGAACCAAGTTTCACAAATACCCTTCACCACCAAGAAACAATCCTGGAACATGGTTGAATGAAGGGTGAATACGTCTATCCATTCACGAGGCCCATGTCTACCGTTTATTCATTAAAGAAGTACTCAGCACCAACTCCCATGTTCCACATGCCCTGCAAATGGTCTGGTGCCAAAGATACAGCAGGGAACTAGGAAGACACAGACCAACACGGGACCTGACTTTGAGGAGTCTGCCCTCAGGCTGGGGGAGAAGACTACCAAAAATTGACTGATGAATCATTTCAGGTAGGGATTGATACTAAAGAGAAAAAAAGGAAGAGGAGAGAATGAAAAAGTGTTGGAAGGAAAATTATCTAGATGGTCGCCCACAGAAAGAATGACATTTGAGCAGAGACATCTGTGGAGATGTGAGAGGGAGTGTTCCCAGCAGGTGAAGAGCAAGCACAAAAGGCCCAAGGCAGGAGTGAGCATGGCTAGGTAAAATGGGGAGGCCCATATGGCTGAAGTATAAGGGGGGAGCTTGCTAGGAGATGCTCCCCTGTGTTACCATTCACTATCCACATGTGCACATGGGAGCAGAGACACCTGCCATTACTCTTTTTCCTCACCCCACCCATATACTAGCCCTGGATGGACATGTGGGAGGAAGACTCTCTTTGGCTGCTCCCACACCTAACCTGAGCCCCTAGCACTACTAAGGCCCCGTAAACTCTGGCCAAAAGAGGAAGTCCATGGAGTGCCCAACATTCACTGAGATAAAATGGAATGTTTTCCAGATCACAATTTTCTGAACATCCCCTTCAGGCCCAACATTTATGTTTGATACCAGCTTAAAGGAAATTTGCTCTCAAAGCATTAGTTATATCTATCCTGATATTTTTGCATATAGAGGAGCCGGAAACCCAAATAGTGCCTCAATTTAAAGAAGATTTCGAGACTTTTCTCTCCCCTGCTTGAATTACTGAAGCTATACTGAGCTCTCCAGATGGAAACATAAGAGGAAAATGCTACCAAGGTCCTGAATCAGTCCCTTCTGACAAGGCCTTATGATGGGACAGTGTCTACCAAAGACCCAGGGATCTGCACCAGAAGTAGAAAAGGCAAGGTCAGAGTCAAAGCTCAACAGTGTGACCTGGTGTCTTCCTTACATCTATGAGCCCCTCTACTACCCCAGGTATCTGACTGCCTCTCCCAAGGGCCACCGCTGCGGGGGCAGCACCAGCTCCTACAGCACACTGCCCATACAGCAGGTGAGGGCTCACTCAAATGCACTCTCTACTGAAAACCCTTCCAAGACCCCCAACTGCCCTAGAGAAAAAATCCAAGTACCTTTCACGGTCCTCCCAGCATCCCTCCACCTGGCTGAACCAGTGTTTCCCCAAAACCTGTCACTGTGCTCATGACAGGAAGTATGTTTTGCAGGAGACCCAGTGCACACACTCACATGGGTTTCTGAAACACAAGTCTGAAGAAACCATGATCCTTAGGATGTACCCTGGGCTCTGATGTATTTAATCCTATCTTATTCTATTTGTTTTTAAAGATGGTCATGACACACCAAGTTGGTTTCATGACCCACTTGCAAATCATGAACTACAGTTTATACAACAATATACTAAACCAATTTCTACAGTCTGTCCAAATCGCCTTCCGCTCCTGTCCCTCTGAGGTTTCTTACATGCATTTCTTTTCTGGTGAGATTTCCTTTATCTTCCCTAGTTTCCCTTTCTTCTGCTAATTCAGTTGTTCTCAACCTTGGCTGCAAATTAGAATCACACAGGATGCCTTAAAAATATACAGACTCCAAGATGGCATCATCCATACCAGTGAAGGGGGAGAAGCTCATGGATGTGGGGCTAGGACAGCGGCCAAGCTGGATAATGATACAGGATTTCACCCCTAAAGGCATTCCTGCAGCATTTCAAAGAGGCTACTACCAGTATTACAACAAGTATGTCTATGTGAAGAAAGGAGACATCACTGGGATTTCCATGGTGCTGGCAGCTTATGTGCTTCTCAGCTACTGTTGTTGCTACAGGGAACTCAGACATGGGAAGCCATGAAAGTACCACTGAAGAGGGCCCAGTGTGGAGGCATATTCGGCATTCCTGACCATGAGCTTTGCCTGGCACCCTTAAATCCTTTCTTATCTTAATTCAGAATTAACATCCAATAAAAGATGACTGGTTTAAAAAAATACATACACACGCGCACACACACACACAAATACCTGGACACCCTTTCACACCAATCCCCCCAGATTCTGATTTAATTAGTCATGTGGAGCCCTACCTGCAGTGCTTAGCACACAGAAATAAGTATTTGCTATATGAATCTACGAGGAAGCCCCTTTTATCATCCCATTTTATAGACAAGGAAACTAATGTTTAGAAGGTTAAGTAAATTAACCAATGTTGTACAGCTTCAAGTGTAAGAGGTGGGATTAGAACTCTGATCTTCCCAGTTCCAGAGTCAGAGCCTCCTAACCAGTATAGAAGCTTCTCGTCATAGCTCAATAGGCAAGAGACACAACTCATAGTTGTTGCCAGCACTTAAGGATGAAGATCTAGGGGCACTTGGATGGCTCAGTTGGTTAAGTGTCCTACTCCTGATTTTGGCTCAGATCATGATCCCAGGGTCATGGGATCAAGCCCTGCATCAGGCTCCATGCTGGGCTGCTTAAGATTCTCTCTCCTTCTGCCCCTCCCCTGCTTGCATGTTCTCATACTTTCTCTCTCTCTCTCTCTCTCTCCCCCCTCTCCCTCTCTCTCTCTCTCTCTCAGAAAAAAAAAAGGATGAATGAATATCTAGAGAAGCCATCAGGTATCACAGCAGGACTGCTTTGCCCCTGGCTCTTTTCTGGCCCTCAGTTCACAAAGCATCCCTGCAAAAGACTTGGTCCCCAGTCTCTTCTATTTCCACTCTGCTCTCTCTTTAAGGGTGTTCTAACCCAGCTCCCGTATTCCCCATGCCATCTGGACACTTCCAAAGGGAGATTCTCTCAAATAATATGACTCGTTTCAAACTCTTTCTCTCCCTTCTCTCACCCTCAGCCTCATCACCACCTGCTTAATGCTTCCAATTATCTAAGTTCAAGATTTCCCAACTTCAACATCTCTGACCAGTCCCCTCCTTCCGTCTTCCCCAAACCATCCTGTTGGGCACCTAGTCTCCTGTTTGCCACTCCTCAGACTCCACCCTATGTCTCCACCACTTCATCAGCCCATGCCAGCTTGCTGTCAGTTCACTGCCTCTTTCCCCTGAACCATAGCAGTGGTCTCCACACATCTTTCTGTTTCCAGGTTCTTCCCACCGATCTGCCCCCATAAATAGGATGTCTGACCAAAGCCCAGCTCTGGCCAACTCTCTTCTTCACTCAGAATCCTCCAGTGAGCCCATACTAGCCCAGAGGGGTAGATAAAACTCAAGTGTCAGAGATTACTGCTATGTGACAGTAGGAAGGGACTTTTCCAGCCACATTTCGCCATGGCTTTGCCACATGTGTCTGCATCCCCAACTAACAGGTCTGCTAGGGATGCTATTTCTCAGATATGACTCCTATTCTCACCCTGACCCAGGCATCACTATCACCCAATTGCAGGAAGAGGACTCAGGAGGAAATAACACCGCCAGGAGAACCAGCCCAAAAATCCAAATGTTCTAGACATTACTCAATTCCCTCCATATTAGAACCATGGCAACTAGTCACAGCTCATGTTCATTTATGAGTGAATGACAGGACCATAGGGTTATGGAAGTCTGGTAATGTTAACTGTGGGAAAAGGTGGGGACAGTCAAGGTTTCTAGAAGGACCATGGGGAGGGTGGATATAGGAGAGGCAGCACAAAATTATGGCAATGAGGAGGGCTATCAGCCCCAGGTAATGGGGCTTTGACGGGATGTAGGGGAAAGGAATACTGGCCCTTGCTATGTCCTCAAATGAAATACATTTTCATGAAAGGAGGACGTTTTCCCAGGATGTCTGTTTGCTTTAGAGTAGATAAATTTTAGAAGTCTTCAGGGAAACACTGTTGAGAAATATGTTCCCCTGAGCAGAATTTTCCTTACTCTCAGACCCAGGGAAGGCTGAGACTTTTCACACATAAAGAATCAATCCCTAGATGCCCATCCCATAATCAAACTTCTTCAACTGAATGCTCAGGAGTCCCAAGTCAAATCCTGCCTACATTGCACACTGTCTCTATCTCAGGCCCGATGCTCCTTTGCCTAGGTTGAATTGATTTGAGTCCCTATTTGACATTCCAAATGCCTAATTAGGAATAATTACAACTCTTAATTATACTTCAGTCATTACATGCCAACACCACAGCTGCTTTTTAGTTTTATTTTTCATTAAAGCAATGTTTTCAAGAGCATGTTTAAAAAGAAGGGGAAAAAAACTACTGAATAATCATTTATAATTTAAAAGTAAATAAGAACAAATTATGATCATGTTTGTCAAACAAAATTCTCTATCCAATCCAGTTAGTTATTAACCTAGAAATCTCTCTGAGTCACCTGGAGCTTCAGAGTCATGCAGCAAGTTCAGTAACCTTGAATCAAAGATTCCAGGGTTGGTTTCCAGTAACTATAGACCTAAAGCTATTTGGGGTTCAAAAACCCAAAACCTATGGAGTTTCCCAGAAAAGATGACAATGAAAAGTGTGGTCAGGCCCGAAGGATGGGAATTCCAAAGTATAATACTCCTACAGACCATAATAATTGTACTGATAAGGCATTTTCCATCTTAGACTTTGCATTCAGATGCATTTGTGCATAGCTCCAAGATACATCTTCTTTGCGGTTCTCAACCTTTGGAAGACCTAGCATTGAAAATTCTTCCCCAGAAAAATACACATACATAAAACATACACAAGATTTTGCATATAATTTTAAAGGAGTTACAAATTCTTAAGGCTATCCATGATTTCCTTAAGATTTATAATTTTAAAGATACCCAATGTTCATTTGTTTGTTTTTAGTACATGGCAAAAGCATGGAGGCACTTCAAGTTACAAGCTTTATGGCATTTTTAGGCATGAGTATTTACAAATCATTCTATGAAACACTGAGTGCCTACTATGTTCCAGGCACTGAACTAGTTGCCAGAAGAGAGCAAGGATGTGGTGATGAATCAAATAAGATCCCTTAAGGCACTCAGTGGGAGGATCAAGGGCACTAAACTGAGGAGAAAGGAGAAGGATGTAAGGGCTGGAAGAATTTTATTCCTGTTATGCTGCCAGGCTTTGACCTTGCTGACCTATGAAAGCTTCACGTGTGGTCAGAGGGCAGGGAAGTGCCTTAGCACAGAACATGCAACAATGGCATTAATATAAAGAGCTGAGACCCAGACTAGGAATATCCATCCCCTTAAAGCAAGCCCTTGACCCAGTGGCCATGGAATGTGACCAGTTCATGCATTAATTACCAGGGATATACTGTTTTCTAAGGATCCTACGCAAGCAGTCCAGGAATAGAAACTCATGACAGAGCCATGTGCTGTAAGAAAGGCAAAAGCTAAACAGAGAAGATACAGCTGAGTCCATTGATGGTTTATTGGGACAACACTCCTGTGTATCATAACAGCCTCTGGTGTTTCCAACCTGTGTTTTGCCAACTAAACATTTGTTTGACCACCATCTACTATCATAATCATTTTATAAAGGAAAAAATATTTCACTATTATTTAATAGGAATAAAGGATATTTTTTTAATAGTTTATTGTCAAGTTGGTTTCCATATAACACCTAGTGCTCATCCCCACAAGTGCCCTCCTCCATGCCCATCACCCTCTTCCCCTCTCCCCCAGCTGAGGGCTGATGGGGTGGAGGAGAGGATATTCTTTACCAAGGAAAAAGAGTTGGAACTTCAAACCATGCATGTACTCACAATAGACACACACACACACACACACACACAGTTACATTTCTTTACTTTTCCAACTTTTCTAGACCAGTTAAATTTTGTCACAGCTCAGCACCAGTTCACAGAAGAGTATTTGGAAACAACCAAGAGAAGGTTTGAAAAAGAAAGCAAGGGCCAAGTATTTAAGGAGCAATGGATCCTGCCAGGGATAGAGAAGGAAGGCCTCGCAGTGCAGAACTACCCAGGCTAGGTGCTGAAGGATGAAAACGGTTTCAGCGAGGGGGCTGATGGAATCACACAGACACACTGGAAGTGAAGACAAGTGTGAGAAAGAAGCACAATGTCAACCTCATTTATGAACCCCTGTATATGTCAACAGTTCCCAAGGTCCATATCTGTGACTTTTGCCTTATACATTGTCACCTCAAAACTGCTCTTGTCCTCCCAGTTTGGACTGTCCTAACTGCGGGACAAATACTTCAAATTCTTACTGGATGGCCTTGCTCCCCTAAACAACAGTTGTGTTTTGTAAGCTTTCCTACATTTGTATGTGGGTCCTTATTTTTACAAATACTTGAATATTAGATTATAGGTTGGAAACCAAAAGCCCATTGGTAGAGAAAAAAATGCAAATATATTTTGTATAATTTAGAAAAAGATGAGAATTATTTAGTGAACCAAAGGCAGTACTTCTTTTTTTTTTTTTTTACAAATAGTTTATTGTCAAATTAGTTTCTACATAACACTCAGTGCTCATCCCCAAAGTGCCCTCCTCCATGCCCAT